ATAATCAAATGCTTACATTATCATGATGCAGGAAACATTTCCATGGTCTAAATGAAATGAAAACAAACATATAAACCATTTGTTGCTTACTAATTTGAAGGTCCATTACTTAACCAAGAAATTAGTCAACAAAAAGAAAGCATTCATTCATCCAAGCTCATGATCAAAGATAAATAAACACAACAACATGTTTAACTAGAAAACATTTCCATAAACTTCAAACACGATGTAATAATAAGTCTTCAAAGCAAATAATCATCCATGGGTCAAACCCTAATCAACCAAATGAAAGTTTAGCCAAGCATGGCCAAAGTAAAAGAAAAACAATATAGTTTAGTGGTACCAAACATTGTCTTAGATGCAAGATGGTAGGAAATTACACTATTCTTCCAAAAATTCTTCAAATCTTCCAAGGCTTTTTTAGAGAGAATATGATGTATGTTCTTCAAGTGATCTCCCCCAAAAATGGCTCCAATCTCCAGCAAAAGGGAGCTGATTTCCGGATTCAAAAAGGTATCAAAAGCCACCCACCAAACTTCCACAAATAGAGTCAACAAGTCAAACCCGAAATCAGCTCAGAACAATTCACACAGACCGTGTATGAGTCTACGCGAACCGCGTAGGTCATGCTGAATGTGAGACTTGGGCCATTAATCATGCATTCTAGCCCATTCTTCAACTTCAACCCACAATCATAACTCTTTAGAGCCCATTTGTGCCATTCCAAAGCCTTCTAATAATTGACCCAATACTCCTTAAATTTTCTTGTAGCTCGATTCCGCATCGCCTCATCATCATCCTTGTTCACAAATTAGGTCCAAATTGATTTCTTCTTAATGCAAGCACCAAGCCTAATCGCACCACTCCAAATCCACAAGCAAATCACATGCCTCCATAAGTCCCGCATCCTTCTAAGCCTCCAATAACAAATAGTCTTCGGTAAATCCTGCAATTAAGCTCAAAAGACTAGAAAGCACCCGGTAAAGGAGAAAAATGAAAAAAAGAGAAAATATGCATGAAGATTGACTAAAATGAGATGGTTTTAACTCAAAATAAACTATGAAAAGAGGTAATAAAAATGAAACTATCACATATTTGTGGACTTTTACTCCAAATATGTTTGGCTATACCCAATGAAACGAAAATTTGATGTTGCCACATTATTTCCACACTTTAAATCATTAGTGGAAAAATATTTTGACACCCCACTTGTATCTCTCTTTACCGATAATGGTGGAGAATCTCAAGGCCTAACCCCTTTCCTCAAAACAAATGGAATTTCCAATTATACTACCCCTCCCCATACACCGGAACAAAATGGCATCGTTGAACGACGTCATCGTCACATTGTTGAAATGGGGCTAACCCTCCTTCATTATGTCGGTCTTCCTCTCAGTTTTTGGACACACGCGTTTCAAACTGTTCTTTACCTAATAAATAGACTACCCACAGTTCTTGGTCATCAAAGTCCATTTGAACTCTTGTTCAACCAACCACCCAATTACTCTAAACTAAAGTCCTTTGGGTGTCTATGTTACCCTTGTCTTAGGCCCTACACACAATCCAAACTTCAACCCCATTCATCCCTTGCATCTTTCTCGGCTACTCTTCATCAAAATCAGCCTATAAATGCCTTGATCCCAAAAATAATCGATACTACCACTCCCGACATGTTGAGTTTTTCAATCACATATTACCTTACAAAAGTAACCAATACAACCCTCCCACTCTACCTACGGCTAACAATTTTCTAGCAACATCTATGCCATCTCTAACATATATGCATGTACCTCCTACTACCATTCCAAGTTCACCTTTGCGTACTTCACATGCACCATGCAACCTACCCTCTTCATCCAACTCAATGCTAGAACCTAATGAACCCTTATCATCTAACCAATCCTTGCCTGATCTCTCCTCCCCACCTCCTTCCCAATCACCCACTCCTGACCAACATACCCCCAACCTCACCCATCACCCTCACCCCCACCCCCTACCACCGCTTGTACTAAGACACCGAAAGCCAAACTCTAAATATTTCAACTCCACCTTTATTAACACATCCACCTTACACCCGATCCATCCCACTCTTGAACCCACCACCTACACTCAAGCCATGAAAATTCCAGATTGGCGCAAAGCAATGGACTTAGAGTTCAATGCCTTACTCCATAATGGCACTTAGGAACTTGTCCCATATACCTCTCACATTCCCATCAGTTGCAAATGGGTGTTTCGAGTCAAACGCAACCCGGACGGTTCTGTTGCCAAATACAAAGCTCGGTTGGTGGCAAAAGGTTTCCAACAACAATACGGAAAAGACTACTTTGACACCTTCAGTCCAGTCACTAAGTATGTCACCATTCGAACCGTTCACTCCATTGCACTCTCAAAAGATTGGTCACTTTGTCAACTCGATGTGAACAATGCGTTTCTCCATGGAACTTTGAATGAAGAGGTGTTCATGATCCAACCTTCGGGTTACATTCACCCCCAATTTCCCAACCACATATGTAAACTCAAAATATATATATATATATATATATATATATATATATATATATATATATATATATATATGTGGTCTTAAACAAGCACCTCGTGCTTGGTACACTGAACTCGCCAACTTTCTTACCTTTGTTGGGTTTCACAAATCCATGGCTGATGCATCCCTCTTCATTTATAATCATGATGGCATCATATGTTACTTCATGGTCTATGTTGATGATATCATCCTCACCGGTAATAACCCTTCCTTCTTGGACCATTTTGTCTACACTCTTGCCTAACGATTCTCTATCAAAGACCTTGGTCCATTACATCACTTCCTTGGCAGAGAGGTTATTTCCACCGCTTTCGGCCTTTTCCTCTCTCAACATCGTCACATTCATGACCTTCTCACCCACTTTCACATGGATGGTACAAAAGAAGTTGCTACTCCCCTATCCTCATCAGTTGTTCTCTCCCTAATGGATGGCTCTCCCCCGGTTGACCCAACTCCCTATCACAAACTAGCGGCCTCCCTTCAATATCTTGCATTTACAAGACCTGATGTCTCATTTGCGGTTAACACGTTATCTCAGTTTATGCATGCTCCTTCTCAAACACACTGGAAAGCATTAAAAAGAGTTCTGCGCTACCTAAAAGGAACAATACATCATGGTCTCTTCTTAAAACGAGCAACTACACTAGACCTCAAGGCCTTCTCAGATTCTAACTGGGGTGGTGTTTCCACCGTCGGTCGATCCACTACAGGCTACTTATTATATATTGGGGGCAACATCATCTCTTGGTGGTCTGCCAAACAAAAGTCGGTATCCCAATCTTCTACGGAAGCAGAGTACAAGGCTCTTGCCAATGTTGTGGCAGAAGTCTCCTGGGTACAAAATCTACTCTATGAACTTGGTATAACCACGGATCACCCTCCCACTCTCTATTGTAACAATACAGGTGCCACCTATTTGTGTTCTAACCTGGTTTACCACTCTAAGATGAAACATGTCGCCTTGAACTATCACTTAGTGCGAGAAAAAGTCACCAATGACTCCCTTCGAGTACTCCATATCAACTCCACGGATCAACCTGCAGATGCTGTCACCAAGTTGATGCATCATTCTACATATCTTCATCTACGGTCCAAGATTGGAGTCTCCAACGGATCCTCTATCTTGTAGGGGTGTATTACGGATCAATCAAAATATTCAAATTCATAATTTGAATTTAATGAAATTGATTTAGTCCTGGTCAATATATTATTGTTGTATTTTGCCTAGTTTAGATCCATAATCTTTTCATTTCCGACTGTTGTAAATGGCTACAAATAGCCCTGTGATGTATGTATTTTTTATCAATGAAGATTTGCAAACACATGATATTGTGGATACATCTTTAGATGCTATAACTAATTGTCCACGTCTACTTTTCTTAGGTAACGTGCTTTCATAAAAAAGAAATATAGTAAAAATAAAAAACAGTAAAAAATGTACTACTTAGGTTTCAAGTGGTAAAATGGTCTCTTCTAAACGTTCCGTCAACATGTATAGCAAAATTGAATAAATTTTGTCAATTTGCATGGGAAGACTAGACACCAGCGGTCTTTCAATGGTGTTGCAACTTTCTTGCAAAGAGGTCAGGTCATATTCCTACCACATTCTGATAGCTTACAAGTTGCATATGTATGGAGAAATAATTTAATTAACGTCAAGATATCATTTATTAGTTTGTAGTTATATTTATTTTATAACTTTTTAAATTACTGTCATTTATTTAAATATATTTGTATTATTTATGTTTTAGAAATGAATCGTGTCTAACTTAAGCTTACGCGCACCACGGTTAATGGCCTCGAGTCACCACAAACAATCGAACCACCGTTACCACACAAGCAAAAACAACAACCAAGTTAAAACTCGGATAGAGAGGCTATCATATACACATCTCTCAAAATATTTCACCGGTAGTCCACTAATGAACTGGTTGTATTGTTTGTTTATAAACCAAATACGTATTGTGCTAGAAATGATAATTAGTTTGTACTTTTTATGATGCTAGCTCCGAACTAGCTTTTCTCTTCATATATGGATGTTATTTAAAAAACGGTTATTATATATCTTATAAATTATTTGTTTTTTAAACTATTAATAATTATATTCATATGAATGTCTTATTCACTAACTGTTAGTTATAGATATTTAAGATATTTGCTGAAAAAAATAAATAAGTTGATGTTATGAAATACTTTTGATATTTTATTGATATAAGAGCAAATACAAAAGCTGAATTAACACAATTGAAATTGTTGTATCTTCATATCGGTGTGCATGGATGATGTAAACCGGACACTTAGGATGTTCGAAAATCCGGAGTTTTGAATATCCGAAATTATGGATTATGGATACGGATTCAGATTGCAATAGGATATCTGAATTTTTCATCAATTTGTACGTACCTTTTACTCCAACTAAATATAAAATTCAATAAACATAAGCCGTACAAAATTTATGGTTTCTAAATTCCAGCAGCAATGTTCATTCGCACAAGTAACAAGTAACTCAATAGTCAATAGTCAATAGTCAATCGTCAATAATCACTTTCCAGTGAGTTTCTATCACCTATATAGCAGCAAATAAGGAATTGTATTATGCATAAAAGTCTTACGTACAAAATGCAGAATACAATTTGGCCACAAGAATAATAAGTCCACCTGGAGCACTATGAGGATATTTTAATTTATTAACCTGAAACTGAAGTATCTTATTAATTTTCTTTAACAATATATACCAAAATTTATAGTTGTTTTGTGATTTTATGTATCTCCATATTGTTTGTTTCCCTTCATAATGCTATACTGTTTTTTCACTTAATCTAAGGGGTTATCGTTGACAAGTCCTCCTTAAAAAAGCAAACAGTCAAACTATCAATCGAAATTAAAGAACACGGCGCTAACTAACTGTAATCAATAGCGCTACTCGCAAGTAGTGTGAAAAGATATTAAAGGGCACACCACTACCAGCCACAATGGACTTTCAACGGTGTTGCAACTTTCTTGCAAATTAAAGACACCACGTCAGCATCTTCCTTGCAATTTCTGAAAGACTTGCAATTCAGTTGCATATGATCTGACTGGTTTTTATCAAACGTTTAGTAAGAGTCTGATAATATAAATCCGATTAAAATTTGATATTTTTGAAAAATCTTTATCCAAAAAAACTTACACTTTTACAAGTACTTATTTGGTTTGAGTAAATTTGAATTAAAAACATAAATAAATAAAATGGATTTTATATAGGCATCTCGGAAAACATATTAAAAAAAGACCATTTGAATTTGTATCGTTATAAATTATACGAGATGGTCATATCCAATGCCAAATCCCAGTAAAAGCATATTCGGATTTACCCAAAATCGGATAACCAAAAAAAGATTTAATATGAACCGGATGTAACCAAAATCATGTTGATAGTTCTATTTAGTTAATAAATTTTTTACATCATTGTAATATTATTTAAACGTATTTATATAATTTTTATATAAACCAAATATGAAGTACTATTTAATTCTTATAAATCTTAAAAATTATTTATTGTTTAAATAATAAATATCTATATTCATATCCATATTAATATGATTAAACTATTTGAGCCAATAGTTTTTCCAACTCACTATAAATTAAATATCAATCTCGTCGAAATCCAATAAGAACCAACAACTCAAAGAGAACTTCTCTCTCATATCCCAGCACGAGCTTTGAATTCTTGTAATTATCTCTACTTTTTTCTATTAATAGCAAGAAAAGAATCTAAATTCTTTCTCCCTTGAAGTTGCATAAATCTCATATTGCTCTTTCATTTGCAGATAAATCATCTAACAGCAACATGGGTGCAGGTGGTAATATGTTGGATCCATCTAAGGCCAACGATATACTAAAACGTGTCCCAGTTGAGCCACCATTCTCATTAAGTGATCTAAAGAAAGCAATCCCTGCCCATTGCTTCGAGAGATCAGTCATCCGTTCATCTTACTATGTTGTTCATGATCTCATTGTTGCTTACGTCTTCTACTTCCTTGCCGATACCTATATTCCTATTCTTCCTTCTCCTCTAGCTTATTTAGCATGGCCAGTTTACTGGTTCTGTCAAGCTAGCATTCTTACTGGCTTATGGGTCATCGGTCATGAATGTGGTCACCATGCCTTTAGTGACTACCAATGGATTGATGACACAGTCGGCTTCATCGTCCACTCCGCTCTCCTCACCCCTTATTTCTCTTGGAAATACAGCCACCGAAATCACCATGCCAATACAAATTCACTTGATAACGATGAAGTTTACATTCCTAAACGCAAGTCCAAAGTCACGCTTTACTCAAAAGTTCTTAACAACCCACCTGGTCGAGTGTTCACTTTGGTGTTTAGGTTGACTCTAGGATTTCCTTTATACCTCTTGACTAATATTTCTGGTAAGAAATATGGAAGGTTTGCAAACCACTTTGATCCGATGAGTCCAATTTTCACCCAGCGTGAACGGATTCAAGTTCTGCTATCGGATTTTGGTCTTCTTGCTGCATTTTATGCAATTAAACTTCTAGTAGATAAGAAAGGTGCTGCTTGGGTAACCTGCATATATGGAGTTCCGGTGCTAGGCGTATTTGTCTTTTTCGTTTTGATCACATATTTGCACCACACACATCTGTCACTGCCTCATTATGATTCAACTGAATGGAACTGGATCAGAGGGGCTTTGTCAACAATCGATAGGGACTTCGGCTTCCTGAATAGAGTGTTGCATGACGTTACACACACTCACGTCTTGCATCATTTGATTTCATACATTCCACACTATCATGCGAAGGAGGCAAGGGATGCAATCAAACCAGTCTTGGGCGAGTTTTATAAGATTGACAGGACTCCGATTTTCAAAGCAATGTACAGAGAGGCCAAGGAATGCATCTACATCGAGCCTGATGAAAATAGCGAGCACAAAGGTGTATATTGGTACCATAAAATGTGAACACTTGGAAAAATGTATCTGCCTATTTAAAGCATTTTACCTTTATTCTATGTATAATAAACTATCTTAAATAAAAAATTGCTGAAATTGTTGGTTTTCTAAATATTCTTCTGGGTTCTGATATATATTATATCTATGTGCAATTAAAACCTGCACCAAACTGCTACTTTTTTTTTTTTTTTAACAATATTTCACTCTTGAGCTATTCTTAAATCCATTTATATTTCTAATTACACTTCAACCATCAAGGTCAAGAAGAGATAACAGCACCTATATAATATATATTGAGTAATTAATAAAATTTTATAAATTATATATATATATATATATATATATATATATATATATATATATATATATATATATATATATATATATATATATATATATATATATATACGAGATGTGACTGTCATGTATACAATTCTATGTATACAATCCTACGTATAGAACATTAAAAAACCGCGTAGTTGCGATTCATTCCATCCATTCCAAATATACGAAAATCATATAAATATCTAATTATAACTATTTTACACCATTAATAATATTAACAGAAAAAAACATAAAACCCACTTAACACCATTAGTGGTTCGAACCTTCTACTCGAAAGGCTATTAACGGTTAACAATCAAAAACATTAGTTCAGTTCATTAGAGTAAATGAATTTGATTACTAACATATCTTAAAAAGTGTTTCATTGCAAACATAATCATTTAGACACTTAGTGTATGGCTAATTTACTAGACATAATATATAATTAAAAATGGAAAAAAAATCTAACATAAAAAATACTATCATAATGCTTGACTATGTTTTTGACGCACTTAAAATAAAAGTTTTAGTTTCATGGAAAAGATAGTTAGTGTATGGCTAATTGCCTAATTCACTAGACATAATATATAAATCAAAAATGGAAAAAAATCTAACATAAAAAATACTATCATAATGCTTGACTATGTTTTTGACGTACATAAAATAAAAGTTTTAGTTTCATGGAAAAGATAGAGTTATTAAGGAAGTAATCATTCAAAATCAAATAATTAAATTAAAAATCTAGATTTTAGGATAAGTTATTTGAAGTTTTATGACTAAACTATACAAATGATCTCTTCGGTTTGCTTAAAATTGTTACTTTAGTCTAAAAAAGTTTTGACTTTCACCGCAAGTCTAAAGTTTTCATTTTGTTGCGATTTTAGTCCAATTTGATTTAGAAATATTTAAAATGATAGATTTACCCTTGGTACTTTCTTTTTCTATTTTTTTATTTATTTAACTGTTTTTTCTGATTAAAAGAAAAATAAAAAAGAATCTTTCTCTCTCTCTCTCTCTCGTGTGTGTGTGTGTGTATATATATATATATATATCATGGTTGCAGAAATCGCTAATCGGCCGCTAATCGGTGGATTAGCGATTAAGGATTAATCGGCTAGGCGGGGATTAATCGGGGACCATTAATTCTTAAGAAAATTATTAAAAAATTTATAAATCTAACTTTAATTCTCCAAAAAAAGTGATTAATCGGCGATTAGGTCCGATTAGGTCCGATTAAGTCCGATTAGGTCCGATTTTGATCTGCATTGACCAAACCCGATTTGGTCCGATTAACTCCGATTAGGTCCGATTAATTCCGACTTTGACCTATATTGACCAAGTCCGATTATAGTGACCGATTAGCAATAAATCTCATCAGTGGAGGTCCGATTAGCGATTAGTCACCGATTAATCGGCCGATTAGGCCGATTTCTGCAACACTGATATATATATATATATATATATATATATATATATATATATATATATATATATATATATATATATATTCATTCCAGTTTCACTACAAGGAAGGGTATCGATGGTTTTGACACTGACCCAAAATGCTCCCTCTGTCACTCCATGTTGGGCGCTGCCATGGTAAAAATCCACCACCACCATGTTTATTTTGTCAAGTACAGCAGCCCCAAACATCCTCGACCCTTACTCCTACCTCCCCTCGTCTCTCACGCGTCGACCTCACCGAAGGAAATAAACAGAAGCAGTAGGAGTCATCGGAACGAGCCCCACCGGCTGCCACCGTAGTTCTCAACCCACTATGTCATCCCCCTACCATTACCCATTGCCTTCTAACACTCCAGCATCGCTGATGCCTTCCACCTGTTGCCTCCGTTCCAACATTCACCTGCTATTGCCCTCCACTAAAAACCACCGACTGTGTGGCCACCATGCAACCACTACAACTCCATCACCACCCTCGTTCTCCTGTTTCCTCTATCAAATGAAGCTTGTATTGATCTGCTGCCTTCCCACTCGTCGTAAATAGTCGGACACAAGAAAAAACCAGACAACAAGCTGTTGTTGTAACTCCTACATTTGTCACCCACTCCGCTATCACCAGTCACAACCACCATCTCCAACTTATGTTCGTTTGATTTTCTCCAATTCTACATTCCAGGGTTCAAATTACCTTCTCTTTGCGGTGTCATTTTACCAGATATTGAAGCTTTCCCCGAAAACTTTCATTTAGGTGTGATTAGGGCTCGAAAATCCTCAATTGGAGCAACAATGATAGTGTACATGCAACATGCCCTTCGTCGCTATCATCGCCACTGAACATCCTCTCCAGTGAAGATGATGGAAAAAATGACGGGTCATTTGATTCCTCAGTTTAGCCCTTTGCGATTCACACAAAAAAAATGGTAATGGGGCAGTGGTGGAACTAGAAATTTTGATATGGGGGTACAAACATTGTCAACATATTATATGTAGTTATAATCTCTTTAGTTGGGGGTACAATAACATAAAATATATTTACAAATAATATTTTTTATATATATAAAACAATTTTTTGGGAGTACTACAGTACCCCCAATGCCCCATCTAGCTCCGCCACTGTAATGGGGACTTACGTAGTAGTAGCAGCAGCATAAAAGAGGTGGTCGATGGTGGTGACCAAGAGCAGCTCTACAGTGGTAGGAGGCTGCCAGGTAGCCTAGCGGCTACTTCCTTTTTTCTTATGTCGCCAGTGGTCATCGAAGGGGAAGAGGGAAGAGGTAAGGCAGTAGGTTGGAAACAAGAGAGAGAGAGAGAGAGAGAGAGAGAAGAGAGAGAGAGAGATTTCATTTTTATTTTTTTATTTTGTAATAAAAAATTATAAAAATAAAATAGAAAATACTAATTTTATTTTTTATTTTTTCTTTTAATAAAAAAAGTATTTAAATAATAAAAAACTGTAAAAGAAAAAAAATAAGGGCAAAATAGTCATTATGAAAAAAATTATTGAGAACTGGACCAAACTCGCAACAAAATGAAAAGTTTGGACCTCTGGTGCTAGTCCAAACCTTTTTGGTCCAAAGTGACAATCTTCAGCTAACCACAGTGACCATTTGTGCGGTTTTGTCAAGTTTTATTAATCAAAACTATTTCGTTTTATATGTTCTATATACAAGCTTATATATATATATATATATATATATATATATATATATATATATATATATATATATATATATATATATATATATATCAGCTACATATTCACTTTTTCCATATACATGTAGTTGTATTTATGTAGCATCCAGTTTACCAGGTATATTGTTTTAATTTTTAATTTAAGGATTTTGGAGGGACTCGACGAGTTGGTGCCTCAACTTGTCGAGTAGGGTTGCAACTTGGTAGTGTGGATAATGAATGGACTCGAGGAGTCGGAAAGATGACTCGTCGAGTCAGCGTTGATGGCAGAAACCCTAATTCTCTCGGGCCTAGGCCTATTTAAAGGCACTTAAGGTCTCCTATTGCAGATACCCTTCAGAGGAGAGAACCCTAAACGAGTCCTGAGTGTCGGGAAAGAAAGAGACCTATGTTGAGCTTCTTGGTGGGTGTCTTGGAAGGAAGAGGAAGGTTTCAAGCCAAAGGGGGCCAGAGGAGGTTGTAGATCCACGATTTGCAATCAAGGAGCATCAGTTGGAGGTATCAATTTGGACCCCATTCTTCCCTAATTGAGTAGATCTGTCTTTTGTGGATTAGGGCTTGTATTACTTTCTTAGTGGGGTTTTGAATGCATCAAACCCCTCTTATGAGTTGGTAGCATATATCTGGACCTTGGAGGGTCCAGAGAGTCCGAAAGTAGGAAGCCATGGTGGAGAAACTATTTGGATTTGAAGCTAGGAACCATTAATGGAGTTTTTATGGTTTATAATGAAAAATACACCATGCATGGACATCAAGATCGGACCTTTACGTGACTTTTGGGTAGTAGGAGGTTAGATCTATGAGTTAGAGCTACAGATCTGACCTCAGGTGACTGAATGAGTAATCTAATAGAGCCAACTCACTAAGTCCATGGGATGACTCGACGAGTTGTAGCGGGTGTGATCCACTAGTCTTGGCAAGTGTTGACTTATCGAGTTGGGAGTCAACTCAGTGAGTTGAGCGAACCTTAGGAAGATCATGGAGAATTCGAGGGGACTCGGCGAGTCACAGATGTGCAGTCGACGAGTCAAGTCAACATGGAATGTTGACCCAGGTTGACTTCTGTTGACTTCATGAGTGGGCCAGTAAGGGAGTCGGTGGGGCAAAGGAGGGGTAAAATGGTCTTTTACCCATCCTGAGGATCAAAAGAAGAAAAGAGGACTTAAGGTATAAAGAGTAATAAGTCGGATAATGATTGAGATGCTTGTCTTATGTGTTAGGCAGAGACTAGTCCAAGATTTCCGAGGCTTGTCGGTTACCTGCTAACCGAGGTGAGTCTTCTCACTATACTTTACCTGGAAGGGTAACTATGTGTAACCGGAAGGTCTTAAGTGCTTGTATGAATTATATGATTCATATGATATGTATATGTTGTATGAGTTGGACCGAAAGGTGAAGCAGGATTGGACCGGAAGGTCCACAGGGTTAGGAATGGAAGGTCAGCATCGTAGGACCGGAAGGTCTACCAGGATTATGGGATCGGAAGATCCCACTGAGACACAACGACCAGAAGGTCTTGTAGCCTAAGGTGG